ATTAAATGTTAAATTCTACTTCATCTATCCCTTATAACTTTGTCAACATTTCATTTTTTTGTTGTCACAAAAACTTTGTCACTTTCCCTTTTAACCAATCAATTTGTGGCTCTTGATATTTCTCTCTACTCTGCACAAATATCTATCACACAGTTTTTACTTTATTATTCTACGTGCCGGTCAAACTTGGCAAACCTTTAAGGTATGGAGGGAGTATGATCGAGATTTATTGTTACGTAGTAGTACCTCCGTCCCACTAAGATTGAGATAGGAGAAGGTGGCGCGATTATTAAGAAAAGTGTGTTACTGTGCTTGATGTTAAATTGCTAAAGTAAAAATAAAGTAAGAATGATTTAGAGCCAAACAATCTTTACCAAATTTTGTACTCCCCCCGTCCTTTAAAACTTTGATAAAGTTGACCGGTAAGGAGGATAATAAAGTAAAAACTGTGTGGTTGAGGTTTGTGCAGAAAAGAGAGAAATAACAGAAACCACAAAATAATTTATTAAAAAGGAAAATGTTAAAGTAAACGTCACAAAATTGAAAGATGTCAAAGTTTTAAGGGACATAGGGAGTATGTGACAATAGGGAGGGAGTATATTTTTAAAAGCTACTCCATCCGTCCCAGAATTATCTTCATTCTTTCCTTTTCGGTCCGTCCCAAATTTATCTCTCTTTTCTTTTTTTGCTAAAGAATTTGTGGTTCACAACTAGCTACGTAATTCTCCACCACACATTTGACTAGGGCTGAGCATAAACCGATCCGACCCGAAAAACCCGATTTTTTTTCCGGGTTTTATCCGAATGGATATGGATATCCGATCCGACTATCCATATCCGAAAAATTATATGGGCTTGGGCGGGTACCGGGTTGTGGGTAGGGTTTATAAAACCCTAACCCGATCCGCGCGAAAAATCCGACATACCAAAACGGCGTCGTTTTGGATTTTATATATATACATACGTATAACTTTTCTACCCGGCCTAACCCTATCCGCCTCTTCGATCTGTCTTCTACTCTTCGCTCTATCCTCTCTCTAACTCTCTGATGTCTGAACCCTTACTCTCCTCTCTCGATCTTTGATTTCATTCTTCAATTACACTTGACTACTTGAGAGTTGAGAATCCTATAGTTCTATTTGGTATTTTGGTGGAAGCTCTCACACAGAAACGCACACAGTCTTGTTGATTCGCTGAAACCCTAATCGGTGGAAATCGTTCTTCGATCATTCCAAAGTTTGTAGTCTATTGCATTGTCTCTGACTCTGAGGTATTGATATCTACGGTTTTGTTGTGAATTTGTATTTGAATGTTTGATAAAATGAATGATTCTTGCTGAAACCCTATGATGATTGTATTTGAATCTATGATGTTGACGAGTGACTATGAATCTATGATGATGTTGATGTGTTCATGCTTAATAATATGTTGATGTCTCTAAGTTGTGGTGAAATATGAATCCTTGCTCCTCACTAACTAAGTATCCTATATATGAATTCTGAGTACTAAACTGTATGATTATGCATATGTGAATGATGATGGAGCCTGAGGCTTGTTCTGAATTCTTAAAGCTGTATGCCTAATGTATGATTATACATATGTAATGATGATGGACTGAGGCTTGTTCTGAATTCTTAAAGTTGTATGCCTATTGCCTAATATATGATTATGCATATGTGAATGATGATGGAGCCTGAGGCTTGTTCTGAATTCTTAAAGTTGTACGCCTAATGTATGATTATGCATATGTAATGATGATGGACTGAGGCTTGTTCTGAATTCTTAAACCTGTATGCCTATTGTATGCAATTGCTTATTTACTTATATAGATGGATGGTCAAGATAGTATTACCATGCCTGTATCTGGTGAACCTCCTCTAAGCCAGGAACCTGCAGTGGAAGCTCCCATTATAGAGAATAATGATACCACTCAACAGACTGATATAGCTGTTGTTTCTGTCCAAAAGAGGAAACAGGTTGCACCAAGGTCCAAAGTATGGGAACACTTTGACAAGATTTATGATGAAAAGGGAGTTCTTGTTAAAGGGAAATGCATATATTGTGCTAGATTATATGCTTATCATTCAAAAAAACATGGCACCTCATCTATAAGAAATCACATACTCAGTTGTCTGAAGAACACTGATTCTAAGGACACTAGGCAAGCCCTCTTAACCTTCCAATCAAGTCCTACTGAAGAACCTGCTGGGGTTTTAGGGACTTGGGTGTTTGACCAAACTGCAATTAGAAGAGCTCTTGCAGAAATGCTTATAATTGATGAGCTTCCTTTTAGGTTTGTTGATAGGCAGGCTTTTAAAAAGTTTATGTCCATAGCTTGCCCTAGATTTAAGATCCCTTCTAGGTGGACCATTGCAAGGGACAATTACCAAATCTACTTGGATGAGAAGATGAATTTGAAAAAGCTCTTTAGGGAGACAACACAAAGGGTAAGTATTACTACTGACACATGGACCTCTGTACAGAGGATCAACTACATGTGTATTATTGCTCATTACATAGACCATCAGTGGAAGCTTCAGAAAAAGATCATTTCCTTTGTCCAGGTTACTTCTCACAAAGGGGAGTACATTGCTAAGGCTCTTGAGAACTGCCTTTTAGAGTGGGGGCTAAAAAACATCTTTACTGTTACTGTTGATAATGCAAGCAGTAATGATACAGCTGTAGGCTTCTTCAAGAAAAAACTATTATCTTGGGGGGCCTCTTCTGTTAAAGTCCAGTATCTTCACATAAGATGTATTGCCCACATTCTAAACTTGGCAGTTCAGGATGGTTTAAAACAAGCTGATACTTCTCTGTCTAGGGTTAGGGAAGCAGTTAAGTATGTTAGGAATTCTCCTGCTAGGCTTCAAAAGTTTAAGGACATATCTGACTTAATTGGGGTGGAAGCTAAATGTGGACTACACCTTGATGTTCCAACTAGGTGGAATTCCACATACCTAATGCTTAAGTCAACTTTATGTAATGAAAAGGTTTTTGAAGCTTATGAGGAGAATGTAACCAGTTATGCAGTTGATTTGGGTGTTGACACTCCAGATACTATGGATTGGATTTCTTGTGAGTCTTTGGTCACAGTTCTTCAAAATTTTTATGATATGACACTCAGAATTTCAGGCTCTCTCTATGTTACTTCTAATACTTTCTTCTCAGAGGTGTCTGATCTGTTTATGGTCCTTCAGGACTTGATGAAGTCAGATAGACCTTCTACAAGTACCATTGGAAGTACTATGAAATCCAAACTTGATAAGTATTGGAGAGATCCTGAAAAGATGAACTATCTCATATTCTTTGCAAATGTTCTAGACCCTAGGGACAAGTTTGAATACATGCCCTTTAAGTTCAATGCTTTGTATACTCAAAAAAGGGTGAGAATTTTTTTGCAAATATCAAACTTGCTCTGGCTGAGTTATTTTCAGATTATGTGAGTAATTACACTGATAGTGTTGGTGGAAGCTCTGAATCAAACTCAACTCCTGCTGCTTTAGTAATCTGTGAGTCTGAGACTGCAAGACCAGTCTCTAAATTCAAAGCACAACTAAAAAACAGAAACTTGAGAGTGGGCAACTAGGCTTGAAAAAAACTGAGTTGGAAATTTATTTGAGTGAGGCTATTGTTGAGGAAGATAAAGAGTTTGATATATTAAGATGGTGGAAATTAAATAGTCAAAGATTCCCTATACTCTCAAAAATGGCTAGAGATATTCTTGTTGTTCTCATCTCCACAGTTGCTTCTGAATCCACTTTCAGTACTAGTGCCCGAGTTTTAGATTGCTTTAGAAGTTCATTGACTCCTAAAATAGTGGAAGCTTTGATATGTTGTCAAGATTGGTTGAGAAAACAAAACCAACCTCTGTCAATTGAAGAAAATATTGATGAACTTGAGAAGCTGGAAACAGGTTATTTTATTTTTTACATGTGCTTGATGTATATTTATTTTCAGTATGCCTTAAAAGATGTGTTTATGTTTTCCAGATTTAATAAATGGGACATGTGCTGCTACTGAAAATGCTTCTTGATCTTATGTGGATCCTTCACCAGTTAACTTAATGGTTTACTTATTTATTACAAGTTTATTGTCTCCTCAAATAGTGGAAGCTTTGACATGTTGTCAACATTGTTTCTATTGCTCATTTATGATTTACCAAGGTGACTAACAATAGGTGTTGGAAGTGTTGGTGTTGGATGTCTTCCACTGCCCACAACCCCTATTCAATTTTCGGTGCTATTCATTTGCCCCTTTGTTTTTCCTGACAACTTAACTGCTTCTTCTGTTCTTCATTTGCCCCGTTTTGGTTATGATGAAAGCTTCCACCATATACTGAAATAAGATTGGGTTGGTATTAGGAGTAGTTGGTGGTAATTTGGATTTGGCCTCCAATGTATCTTTACATAATGAGATGGCTTGAAATCTACCACCATCTACTTTGGATGCCCCCAATTAGTTTTGAAATGACAAGAAGCAATCTGAACCAATATGTAATAACTCTGTGCATTGTGATTTGTGATTATGCATTTATTCATTGATGATATGTCATATGTGCAGGCTTAAAGTTGAGAACACTTGGTTTTGCAGTATTTGATATGCTTTGTAAACTATGGTGCTGGCCTGCTGGGTTTGCAATAGCCAATATGGTCTAATTTATATTTTTTGATAACTGTCTAATTACTTGGTTATTTTGGTGCTGGGTTTGTAATTTAAATACTTAGTTAGTTTATGCTTGGATTGCTAAGTAATTTAGTTGGTTGTAATTTTGTACTTTGACAGTTCATATTAATGAACTAATGATGCAATTTCAATGTGTTTTAACTATAACCGAAGTAACCGATATCCGAAATTATCCGACTTTCTAATATCCGAAAAAACCGATATCCAAACAATGCGGGTTGGATTTAAGAATCACATTAAAAAATCCGAACGAGTTTGATGCCCGCAGACCCGACCCGCCCGAACCCGACCCGTGGTCTCCCCTACATTTGACTCGTATACAAATCTACTGTCGCTTCCTCTCAAACTCACAGATGAGGGCCACAGTTCAGAGAGTGGCATCTGCCAGTGTTGAAGTCCGTATTATGCCCTGCGACCTCTCCTTCCCTCAGTTCCCTCTTACTCTCATCTCTAATTCTGAAACCGTTGTTCTAACCTGCGTAGCTATGTAAATTTGCAGGTGGATGGCCAACTCGTGTCGACTATTGGGCCGGGCCTCTTAGTCCTCATCGGAATTCATGAGTCCGACGTTGACACCGATGCTGATTATATGTACGCGATCCGGATTTTCTCAGTAATTAGCAGTTCCGCAAGTAGTATTCATATCTTCATGTGCAGTATTCCAGAATTAATTATCTTTAACTTGATTCTAATGACCAGATGCCGTAAAGTGCTGAACATGAGATTATTTCCTAACAAAGAGACTGGGAAAACATGGGATCAAAGTGTAATTTTTTCTATACCTCTTCTTTATCCGTTAATTATTCTATTCATTACCATCAGTAACTGTGAAAATATACTTTAAGATTTATAGAATGCTTGATGTCTCTAGCCGTGGGTTACTGAAGTAAAAAAATGCATCTTTCTCTGGTCTTGATTCATATTCAGATATTTATGAATCAGTGTGTTATTCTGCTTATGATGTACTTGAACCTGAACCTTAGGTCTGTGTTTTCATTTTGAAACAGAACTCAATTAATCCTATATTCCTATGTGAGGAGTTTTGTATTCTGAGTAGAGTAATTGATGTTAACTTAAAATAAACGGAACCAACAGAGCCATAAAGTGCTAATACGTAGTATTAACTTGTAGTCTGTGGTTTATCGTTCTTAAATCTAACCTGTTTAAGAAAAAAAACATTATGACAGAACTAGGTTTCATTCACTTACCTTACTGAAATAGTTTGTCATAACTCAGGTTACTCAGTTATCTCAAGGGAAATACCATACAAAAGAATTATTTCGAAGAACCAGGGGCGGTCAAATAACCCACTAAACAATAGGACTCTATTGACCTTACACGACCGAAAGCGTCAATATATTCTACAGAAAAACTGCAGTTTGGATTCATTTGATGACGGTATATTCATAAACCAAAATACATAACCATGTATATATTCTTGAATATTGATGCATCATTTCTAAATAAGTACCTTGAATCTTGAATCTTGATGCACCATACCTAGACACAATTAATCACAATATGAACTTCAAAAATGCTTACATGCATCAGTAAAACATAGTAATAGTCAAATCCCAAGAATCTGCAGAAAGAATCTGAAAGATGATATGAAAATACAAAATAATTCTCATTTCAAAATCACAAGATTTACCAGAATGGACTGGCAAAATCAATAACACAATAAATGATCTAAAAACTGAAAAAAGAGAAGTGTGTGCAGAGGGGCTCATGATATCGAGAGATTAGAGATTCATTATTAGATTCGGTAAGAGTGATTCATGTCCACTGATCGTTCAGACTTCAGACTATAACTGCAGTTGATGAAGGCATGGAGGCATGGACCACCTATGATAGAAGAATGTGGGGGGAAACGGAGTGAAGAACGGACAAAAGGAAGAACCTATAGAAGAAGGTGTGAAGGCATTGAATAAAATGGATTGAATGAGGCATCAACGGAAGAACCCAATGAATAGGAAAGTGGAGTAGTGAAGACGGTTAAGTACTGAAGTTTAATAATTAGGGTTCTTACGGGGTTGGTTATCGACTTATCGGTCACCGACCGAAACCAGCAATAAAAACTGATTTGTAACTGAATAACTGATACTACGTACATTGTATTCTATGATAACTAGCAACTGACCTAAAAATGAGATTTTGATTGGTTTGGTCATCAATCATTACAGAAAATACAAGTATTTGAAGCTAAGAGACATGGTTTGGTTTTGATAAGGTTTGTTTATTTGATGGTTTGTTTGATGCTCAAGTCAATGTATCAACAACAACAACATTACCCCAGTTTTTCATAGGCTCTCATCTACGATTGGGTTAGGAGGTCGGATGTACGCAGCCTTACCACTGTACTAAAGCACAAAGAGATGCTTTCGGATGACCCATGATGAAAATCACGTCAAAAATTGACTGTTTTTTTATATCAAAGAAGCACAAATAGTTTAGTGAGCCATTTCGCTTTATTCATAAGCCAAAATTTAGCGACTCTTTGGCTCTATTGGAAATGATAGAAATAGCTCAAGTCAATATATAACTACCTTATGTCATTAGCAACACAAAATGAAGTTAAAAAACAGCCTATTGTGTAAAAGTATGCCTCTGATTCTATTTACTGTAGGCGCTTCCTCCTATTACTCTTTTCATTCAGAACCCCTTCAGAATTCTAAGATCTTAACTTATCGGAGAGCTTTCTTTTTCACTTCTGGGATGTTTGTTACTTAAGAAACTTCTTTAAATGTACTACCTCTGTCCCATAATATTTGACCAACTTTCCTTTTTTGATTGTCCCAAAAAACCGTCATTTCCATTTAAAGTAACAAATATGTGGCTAAGGTTATTTCTTTTTTCTCTGCACAAATATCAACCACACAGTTTTTACTCTATTATTCTACGTGCAAGTCAACTTTGGCCAAGTTTTATTAGATGGAGAGAGTATCATTTTTTTAATTGTTTGGTAATAAACTAATGGAATGAAGGTGAATATGTTTTCAATGGCAGGTTGTTCAGAAGAATTATGAAATCCTATTAGGTATTTACTTTGCTCTTTATACTTTTTGTTAATGATTAGGGATCATCAAATGGTATAAAGTTTATGTGAATATGCCCTATGCAGTGAGTCAATTTACGTTATATGGGATTTTCAAGGGAAATAAACCAGACTTTCATGTAGCAATGCCACCTGATAAAGCAAAACCCTTTTATGCAGCGGTGGTGGAAAAGTTCAGAGTAGCTTACAAGCCAGATGCTGTCAAAGGTATCTCTCTGTCTCCTTTTATTGAAGTTCATGTACTATTGTAATGTTTGATAGCCCGAAATGCAACACAAAGTAAAGTAATCCAATAATTTTTCAGTGTAAATTTACATTAGACATACATTTGGATAATTTTTTTTGCATTCCATTATGTCTTACCAAACTGTATCTAAGTACTCAACATGGTTCCTTCCCATATGAGAATCCGTTGTACTTGAAATTTGTCACACTTGGTCTTTGTGGCTGCTTTTTAGTAGCACTCGACTTGGTTCCCATTTTTTATCTTTCTCTTACCAGTTTAAATTGGTTTTATCTCAAACAGATGGCATATTTGGCGCTATGATGAAGGTGAGGTTCTGATCTTATAGAATTCTGAGGTTCTACTCTATGCATAATCAAATTTTGATTATAATAGCCTGATGAACTGTGGTTGTTTTTGTTGGAAGGTGAACTTGGTTAATGATGGTCCTGTTACAATGCAAATTGAGTCACCGCAGCAGACAAAATGAATGCATAAATGGCATGGAACTTCTTTACAAGACATTCTTGACATATTCATCTATCTTATCATGTATTCAAGGAAATTTTCGTTGTAGTGACCAAGAAGTCAACTAGAAACGAACTCAAAAGTTGTAGTCCATCATTTTCCCGTTGGTCTGACTACCACTAATATAACGAAGCTTAGCTTCAAATTAAGTCTGAGGATATAATCAATGGTCGACTGGTAGAATAAACTTATTTATCTGGAGTATTGAATTATTGAAACCATTTATTAAATAACTTATTGAACATAATATCTAAAATGACTCCCACATTTATTTAAACTTTCTTTTTCTCATTTTCACCAACATTATTTTAAACATACCCAGCTGACACCAGCTGACAATAGGGCTACATAGTCAGTACTACGTATTGATTTTAATTTGGCACTAATTTTACACGCATACTATCTCAGTCCTATTGGATTTTACCAACTTTAGTGAAATTGGAAAAATAAAATATATGTTCTTGAAGTTTATGTATGACATAAATAAGTTGAATCCCAAATTCATTATTTTAGATGAGAAGTGACAAAGTTTTTGTGTCAAATAAAAAAGAAAAGTTTGCGGAGTCTAATTATTGGGACGGATTATAACATTTTTAATGAAATTGGGGTAGGCCAAACTTGTTCAGGCAGGCATATGAAGTCATTCATATTTGATGAATACAAACTAACATGCCCTGAGTTATTATACTTCCTCTTATCAGTTATCACCAGTCCCCAACTCTTAATAAATTTAAGCAAGAAAAGTGGATGAAGAAATTAAACACATGCAATAGAATGTCTCATCTGTTTATAATATTCATTCTAAACCCAAATACATCAGCAACAAAGAGAATCAATATATCTTTGAATATAGACACCTTGATCCATTAGTACTATTGCTAGCTCTACACCTCATTATTTCTCGGTAACGAGCCGTACATAGCAAGATCATCATCATCACCTTTCGGGGGCATGATCGGAAGATTTGTTGCAAATTTGAACAAATGATCTTGATCATGCTTATTAGAAACTCTTTGAAATTTTGCTTCTGCGAAGTCATTGTTATCCGATCGCTGGCTGATTGGATTGTTGGGAGGATGATACAGTACCGAGACTGGTTCCGGATCATTCGGACGATAAATCGGGGTTTGCTTATTATTATTGCAACAATATTGTCTAAACTGATGACTATTAGGGCTAGTATTAACAGTCACATGGTTCTCTCGGAGTTGACCTTGATGTTGACCTGGAGATATAGTCATTAAATTCTGTAAGATGTGAATACAATCGGTACCTCCCGAATATGACGGCGACGGAGGCAGCAGCGGTGGCGTCGGGAGAGGTAAAATTGGAAGTGCGTTGATTCTGAACCGCAACAGTTGAGTCTTCAAGTCCTTGTTCTCTCGCTGTAACTGGTTGAACCGGCCGAGCGGACCACGAACCGGGTCTTGCTCCCAAGCCCTGGCTTCCCACATGAAAGACTTGGTGGCTTCGTGCCGTTCTTCGTGGCCGCTGAGATCCCGAAGCATTCTTGACATGTTCGCTATGCCGAAAACTCTGTGAACCGCTTCGAACTCTCGCATCCGGTCCGATCGGAAGTGGGGCCGAAGAACGCAATTGTTGGGATTGCATTTTTTCCTCTGGTGCTTGCATGCAGCGCATGTTGGACCGTTTCTTCCTCCCTCGTCGTCGTTCTCCATTCTTTTTATTTTGAAGCTGTAAAAATGGTTACAGAAATAATCGGCGGCTTAAATATGGGGAGGGGTTAAGGAATTTAAACCATGCGATTCCTGAGGAAGTCATTAAAATAAAGGAGGAGAGATTAGGAGTGTTCAAATCGGAGTGCAATTCGGAGGGAGGCGGGCCAAGTTAATGATAGGGTTTCGTTCGCTTAATTTCCCACCATTTTTCTAGGGGCAATTGAGCAATTTCCAAAATATAGGTAATTTAAAGACAATTTTGTAAAAATTGGAGTATAAAGTTTAAATTCTTAAAATAGAAGTGCCCCTTTTTATCTTACTTTCGCCCTTGTTATGTTTTAATTGATTTTTTCAATAACATTAAGAGAATATTACCAGAAATAGGACTAAAAAAGTTTGAAAATTCCAAAATAGAATTGTCATATTTTTATTCCCAAAATAAGACTAATTATTGTCATGTTTTGACAGTACCGGACTTCAAACATGACAATATTTTCTAATCTTGGCATTAATTAATCTTATTTTGGGAATAAAAAACATGACAGTCCTATTTTGGAATTTTCAAAATGTTTTAGTCCTATTTTGGGAACTTTACCTAATAATAAATCATAAAATAAAGAAAACTAAATTATACCGAGTAAAACTGAGAAGAAAATTTTTGCAAAAAATAGATGAAAATATACCAGCCTTTTCATCACTTCAGTCGCCTTCCTACACTGCCACATTCATTTTGCGGAAAAAATGTCAACATGCAAAATAAATCATCTTAGTCGTAGTTTTGAAAGCAGAATTTGGTAATCCTTCCATCCCGTGGAGAGGTTCTCGCACGATTTACTATACTAGCTTCCTCTTGCTTCAATGTCCTTCAATTCCCAATGGTGTTAGTTCCATTCTCACCTATGCTACATACTGCTGCTCTTTGTCCGTGCATCCAGTCTCCTTCGACTAATTGGAGAAGTCAAGGATAAAATTAAATAGGACTAGTTATAGAAGTTTCAAAAATGTGATTAAGAAGGCTAGTATACCCTTACTAACATTACATCCAATGCCCTAATAATCAATTTCTTAGTAACTTTGACCCTAGTGATCAATGCCCCATTGAGTCTGATCCCCTGTGATGACGGATGAACCCAATGATACTATAGATCCTAAGGGTGAACCAAAAAACCGAAAAATCGAAACTGACCGAAACCAAACCGACCGAAACCAAACCGACTCAAACTGACTAATCATTGACGGTTCGGTTTACAGTTTCACCTTTTGGGTTAAAAAATCGACCGAATCGAAACCGACCGACAAAAACCGACGAAAACATGCTAAAACCGACCGAAATCGACCAAACCGATCGAAATTAACCGAACCGAAACCGAATCAAAATTGTCTCAAGTACTGCGGTTCGGTTTACGGTTTCACCTTTTCTAAAATCGAAACCGACTAAACCAAACCGACCAAACCGAAAACCGACTAAACCGACCGATGAACACCCCTTTAGATCCAATGATTATTAAATATTGAAGCGGGAAAATTGCAATTTTACTCTCGTATCTTTCGATTATGCCTATTATTAGTCTTGTAACTTTATTCGGTTGCATATTTGATCCTCTAAATGATGAATAGTTTTCAGTTTAAGGACTTTTACACCGAAAAGTACGCTTGTCGGCCGTAAATTCGCCGGAAATGATGGAACTAGAGTCAAATTTTCTTTCGGAAAGTATACATTCAGGTTAGAAAAGTTCTTAAATTGCAAGGACTTGTTAGTTAAAGTCCATTAAAGATACATGACTAATAAGGGGTACAATCGAAAGTTACAGGACTAAAATTGCAATTTTTCATGTCTCAATTCTATGACAAGGTATGATTTTTTATTTTTTTAACCCGATAGGCAAACCACCAAAATTAATGGGGCAAACGCCGTGGAACATTTGCCGGGTTTTATTGAGAAAAAAAGATAAATACAACAAAAGAGGGGGATTAAGCCAAAACCTCTTAAAATACAAGCAAGACAAAAATAAAAAACATGCAAGAAATTAACATCGAAGTCTGAGCGCCGGAATCCCAAAGTAGTCCAGATAAAAGGCCGCCTTCACTCTGTTGGGCAGATCCAAGGTATTATCAAAGTATTCCAGTTGGGCCGAAGCCTGATCCGCTAAATAATGTGCTACCCAATTGGATTCTCTCCAACTATGCAAAAAGGACACACTCTTATCCTTGCACTAAAGTAACGTTTCCAAAACAATGCCCTTCCATCTACCTTCTCTATCTTCCTTTGAAACCAAACAACGAACCCCTTCTGTCGAATCCATCTCCACTTCAAAGTCGGTGTAGCCATGGTCAATCGCCCATCGAACAGCTGTGAGAGCTGCAAGTAATTCCGCTTCCAGGGCTGAAGATGCCGAGATTGGAAATGAGAGAGCAAAGAGCATCTCACCCGTTCGGTTCCTCATGATTGCTCCGCCTCCAGCTTTATGAGGCAAGAGATTTGCATCAGTGTTGAGTTTAAGCTTCTTTATCAGTTTATTCCATTTGATTGCCCTCACCAGACTGCCCTTCAATCTAAACTTCTGTGGAATAAGATATTCTTCATATAAAATCTTATCAACTGTCCCTATTTTCATATCTGTCAAACTGGAAACCCAATTACGAGTAGAAAACTTAATCTAGCTAATAACCACCTCCGGATTAGTATTAGCATCCCCTGAGCCCCATATAAGGTTGGTGTAGTTTTTCCAGATATGTCAACCTATAATCCCCGACATGTTGTGTTTAAAAATTTCACTAAGCTTCTTACTACCTGCTTTCCACCACCATGCCATAAAAATTTGTTTGATAGAAGTAATTTGTGCAGGTACTGGAATTCCTAGGATTCCCATGAAGTAAGCCCAAATGGGTCTCACTCTTTGACACCAGAAGAAATGTGATTCATAGAGTCCTCCTGACATCTACAGAATGGACAGATGGAGTGACGTGCACTTTGTCGTGGTGTGCACTTCAAAATAAATTCAATACTAACACTTATACGTAGTATACCTGAAGTAGAGTTCGTATCCACAGGGAAAGGAATAAATTATCTTTTTAATTTAAGGAGTAAATAAAAAAGGGGAATTTAGATTGAGTGATTTAATTTAATTAAAAACTAAGATGAACGACTTATATGAGATTTAATTCAAAGATAAAAAGGACTTGGCATTGCTACTTTCCACTTGTTGATACTACCTCCGTCCCGGTGGACTTTGCCAAGTGCAAAGTAGGCGAGAAATAAGAATAGTAAAAACTGCGTGGTTGAGATTTGTGCAGAGAAGAGAGAAATATACAGAACCACAAATTAGTTGCTTTATTAGGAAAGTGGCATAGTTTTTTGGGACAATCAAAAAAGGAAAATTGGCAAAGTCCAATGGGGCGGAGGGAGTATATTTTAGTCAATCATTGTTATATCTATAAGTTATTCCCTCTCGAATACTCAATCGGGGAGTATATCCACTTCATCGAGGATAGTTATTAACAACGATCGTTCATTAATAACCCTTACTATTAATCAAATATAGAACGACGTCTTATACCGATTTAATAGTAGCATTTAATCTTTCTAACTCCTTGATGAAATCAATTGAGATTGATAACCTCAACACAACGGTTTAGGTTTAACCAACAAAATTAATCCCTCTTAAGTTTATTAACCACGACCGTGCATTAATAAACCGAAGTTACTTACTAGTGAAACCATCAACGATTAACCATCGGTTCGTTGATCGTTTCTAGTAATAATTAATATATGAAACCAAACTAGTTGATCCTTTAAGTAATGTTCAAAATATTAATATGAAATATGAATAGGAATTAATTAATATTCAAGGAAGAATATTATTAAAGAAGATGAATCCTACTATAATTAATATCAAGATGTTAACTAATTGTCATCTTAGCAACAGTCCTTAACATTAATATAGAGGAAGAAAATACTACTCTAACTAATGTCAAGATGTTAACTAATTGTCATCTTAGCAACTCTCCCCAACATTAATATAGAGATATAGTATTAAGGAAAGAACTAATAATTAATATTCAATGGAAGAAGTTAAGAAAATAACTCACAACTTTAATAATTAACAAGCTTCAAGAGCAACACCAAGAATTGGAAGTTTAGTTCCTCATTTGGAGACTAAACATAGCTAGAAAAATATAAAGAAATGCTATTCTAAACTGAGCTTAAGAGTATGGAAGAAGGGATGATTTTTAGTGACGGAAAAGTGTGCTATTTATAGGTGTCTTTCAACACCTTGGGCCGAGTACCCGACCTGGTTAAGTGCTCGCCCGACCGGGTGCATGTCAAAATCAGATAATCTTCCACGTTCTTGTATTTTAGCACGTTGAACTGTCCCGGGTCAAATCCGACCCGACCGGGTATGTGTAATTTCCAGCCACCTTCGTCTGTTAAATCTTACACGACCGGGTCAAGTGTTTATGCCCGATCGGGTTTCAGCTCCTGGACAGTCCAATATCCTTTTGCTTCACTTCAAAGTCCTCCTTTTCAACACCATAATTCCTAATTCTACTTTACAACTTACAAATGAAGATTAAAATACAATTACAATTAAAGTCAAACAAACGTTCTCAAACTAACTAAAACGGTAAACAATCCACACAAATCAAACATAAAAACAAACATTTATGCACTACTAATTAGTGCATATCATGGAGGGATTCAGAACCCTTTGAAATCTAGCCATGCTATGAGTGATAGGTAAAATTTTGTTTAAAACCTTCCACTGAAATATCTGAATTTGCATTGTTTGCTTACTGTGTCAAGCATGTTTTAAGGAAAGGGAACTTCGTATGCTGTCCCTAATAGAATCATAGGCACTCTTGAAAGAGAATCTGCCATTTTCCTCGAAGTACCAATGTAGACTTGCATCCTGACTCCCATCACAAAGAAATAATGCAGTATCACCAATGTAGACTTGTATCATGATTTTTTAAATTGAACTATCATTGTGACAGTGTGATTCTCAATGGGTTATCAGTCACGACTGGAAATCGTAGTACTCTCTTCATCCCTGTTTAATCTTCTCATATTCCTTTTTTGGATGTCTGTTAATAATATCCTACTCTACATTTCCTTATTTACTAAACAAAATTGTGCAAAACATTGTCAAACAATGTATTCTACAGTAAAATTTACCTCATTTCCTTAATGTTAGTGTAATTGAAAGTGAGAAGATTAAATTGGAACAGAGAAAGTAGAATATTAGGGATTTTGTCCTAACAACCAATTTCTTAGTGCAATATTGGGGGCAATTTCTCGTTAGGGGTATTTAATTGTCCGTGACAATTAAATAATGAAAATATGATGACATTTCGTTTTGTATTCAATATGATGACAT